ACCTGTCCTTATTGTTTTTATATAGGTAATTTTTGTTTTGTTTTGTTTTGTTTTTTAATCTAGACTTTATAGTTGTTTTGGTAGGGAAATCGATCTTAAGAGCTATTCTTTCAAGACTAGAAGAACATTGTAAAATATTATGTTGCATGTGATGTGCTTAAGAGTTGGTGTATTGAAATAATTGTATGAATGATAGTAGATGAGCATTCTGATTTCTGCCTAGCTCTAGGAAAAGGTGGACATAATATGGTCCCTTTATCTTTGGTTCATAGCCACCTATCTGTGAAGGTTCTTGCCCTCTATAGGCTTGATTGAATAAGAGAGAACTATAAATAGAGACTTAAATTCTCATATCACTTTATGTAAATCTTTCAGAAATGCTTTTAAGAACATTTTATATTTTAAATATCTGTATTTTGGCATTAAAAATGCAAATAGAAGCAGCCTCCAACTTTGTATCTCTGCTGAGCTCTCTGCAGTACATAAGTGACTAATGTTGAACTCACACAAAACTACATTTTGGTCTAAGCCTGAGATTAGAATATTTCAGAGTTCAGTCTTTCATATATTTTCTTTTTAGATGATTTCTTAATCTTGTCAACTCTTTAAGACAGTATTCTCTTAGCTAGTTAGAAGTTAAGTAGAGCTGGGACTTTAAAAAAGTGATTTTTTTAAAAAAAAATATTAACAGAAAAACAAAAGTAAAAACCTCATGGTACTCTAATTAGAGCTAAATTAATATGGTATTACATAAAATGAACCACTTTTTTTTTTTAAACAAAGGAAGTTTTTTTGTTTTTGTTTTAAACAAAGGAAGGTTTGTGTTAAAATCTGAAAATGCTATTGTATACCTCCAGGCTGAATTCCTTTTGATAGTGCAGGTAACTAATAAACAGATTTAGTATGCTCAGTCAGCAAATATTTTAATGTATATTATTAGAGGTATACTTAGATCACAAATTTACTGCACATGTGTGCATACATTTTTGTTTAACATGCTCACACAGAAATTTGAGTTAATGCGTATTTTAGCCTTTATTTGACTTGATGGTAATTAGTCATAAAACATTTAATGTAAATATGTTTATTTTATGTGATCACACTTAAGTTTCTGGATTTTTTTCCCCTTTATTTATTAGCTCTGGTATCTTTGATCACATTTCAGATTTAAGTTTTCCTTATTATATGTCATTTAGTTATAATCATTATATACACCTTGATAATATCAGGTTGGAAGACAAAATGGTTTGGCTCTGATACTATAGTATCTGTATTTCCCTTAGTCTTTGGCTTAAAGTGTTCTCTGTTTTGTCCATACCCCCAACTATATTCTATCATCATGCGTAACTTTCTATACTGACGCATCCTCCCTGTAACACCCGCACTCCCCTGCCCTCCTCCCCCAGTGTACACAGTGTACTGAAGAAATGTACCAGCTGTGCCTGTTCCTTTCTGCCTTCTTGCTCAGGCTTGAGACAGCAAATATTGTAGGCCTTAAAGTTATAGATTCAATCTACTTCACTAGTGAAAGCATTACATTGTGCTTAGGTGTTGGAAGACCCAGGCCTGGGTTGACAGAAAATAAATACAAAAGGAAAAAGTAGTAGTGAAATACATCTTGATCCCCATGTACATTAACTTTTGGTCAGAGGATTAAGCTTTATAGGAAATTATATTAAAATTTTAGAGATTCCATTCCTTTTGTTTTACTGGGGGCCAGAATGAATAAATGACTTACTCAGGGTAATATAATAGTTAATAATAGAGTCAGAATTGTACTCTACATCTACTATTCTTACCATTATTGTAATTTTTATATCCAAATTTATCAATATGTAAGTTCCATACCTGTAATGAAATACTGTTTAGCACTAAAAATAACTAAATATTGATATATCTTATATTATTAGTGAACTGTAAAGTTTATACTTAGTGATAAAAGTGATCAGGGACAAAGATTATATATGATAATTGTGTGAAAAGTCCAGAGAAGGAAATTTATAAAGACAGAAAGCCAGAGATGCTAGGAGTGGGCATGAGTATTGACTCTAAACAACTAAAGGGATTGTTTTGGGTGGTGGAAATATTCTGTAGCTGGATTATTGAAATAGTTGCACAGCTTTAGAAATTTATTGTAAATTATTCAGCTATCCACTCAGTTAGGTTGGCATATAAATTATACAGCAAATATAAAAAAGAAAATATAGAAACACTGTTTCACTCTGCAGATTGCATTGTTTAGATGTTTTTTCTATAATTCTTGAAGGTAGTTCTTTTCTCCAAAGAGTAATAAAATCTGGTTGAAGTATTAGATGATTGTCTTAGCCTTTCTTGAGAAAGGGGTTAGACAATGGAATATTACTCAGCCACAAAGAAGAGTAAAATTATGGCATTTGCCAGTAAATGGATGGAACTGGAGAATATCATGCTAACTGAAATAAGCCAATCCCCAAAAACCAAAGACCAAAAAGCAGATACTAATTCACAATAAGGGGGCATGGTAGGGAAGAATACAAGTACTTTGGATTAGACAGAGGGAATGAACAGAGAGGATGGGAATAGGAAAGATAGGACAGTAATGCTTGATTCATTCCACTATGTGCATGTATGATTACATGACCAATGTAATTGTTGTACATCATGTGTAACCAGAGAAGGAGAAGTTATACTTCTTACGTGTATAACATGTCAAAATACATTCTACTATCGTGTAACTAATTAGAACAAGTTTTTAAAAATTTAAATTACAGCATCTGACATTGCAAAAAAGAAAGGGGTAATTTTAATAGGCATACATTAAACTAGATAATGTAGTGTTTACACACACACACTCACACACACAGGTATTTTTTTCTCCCTACAAGATTTACCTAATGTCCACTAGGCCTGTTGTGTAGTTGAAACTTACAAGACTTGCCACAATTCAGTTCTTTCTTCTCTGGCTATAAAACATCCTCACTGATAAAAAGTGCTTTCATGGATATTGAGGTAGCTTTGTAAGTTTTTCAGTTCTTCTCTTTCCAGTTGAGATTTGTGCTTTACTGAATATCGCTTGTATTTGTTTTTAAACCTGTTTTTTCTTGTTATTACATAATTTAATATATAAATTGATGCATCAGTGTGGAATTTTTTTCTTTGGCAAACTAAATTGAATGATTTTGAAAGACTTGATAAAGACAAAGGCTACATATTGATGTGGATTTGGTGTGGATAATTTTAAACATTGGAATAGAAATTGTAAAAAAAAAAAATCTAGGATTTTATATTCACAAATTCCTCTAGTGTTATGCTCCACCTTTATGAAACTAAAACTAGGAATGTTGGACAATTTATTACGTATAATTGCATGTAAGAAAGGCAGTGTTCAAAGAAAGTCGTAATCTCTAGAGGGTTGGAATATAGCTCAGTGGAAGAATATATGTGCTTAACATGTGCAAGTACTTGGGTTTTGATCCCTAGGACTGAAAAAAAAATCTTGATGTCTGAATGAGCATTTATGTGTTTAATTCAAATGTTTAAGATAAAGTATGTGTGTATGTTTAATAGTTTCCCAGTTTTACTACCAGTCTTTAAATTTAAACTGTTTTTTTTTATTATTATTAAATAGGGTAGAACACATTTTCTCCATTTTCTTGTGTATAATGCTTTTTTCTACCATAGAAATTTGTATTTGGAACTATGAAAATCAGATTTACAGACTGGGATTGTGACTTAGTGGTAGAGCCCTCACCTAGCACATATGAGGTCCTGGGTTCAATCCTCAGCACCACATAAAAATAAGTAAAATAAAGGTATTGTGTCCAACTGCAACTAAAAAATAATATTTAAAAAAAGGATACTTGTTGCTTTTTAATCATTAGAGTTATGCCAGTTTTTACTGTTCATGTGTTATTTTATTGCTAAAAACCAAGTCAAAATCAGGATAATAATAGGGAAGGGTTGGACTTGGAGGTCACAGAGTGAATAAGAAGCCAGTTTGGTGGGTAGGAGCCATGAAAAGAAAGGAAGAATATAGTCAGAGGGAAGCTTGGAATTTAAGACCTCCATGATGGAAATGTGAAGTCCAAGAACTTAGAGAAGTTATCAGTGAAATTTTGACCTCCCTAAAGTTGATGTCAAGATTGGAAAAACATGACCTAATGATAAGATTATATAGAATATACAAAAATGAGTACTGAATATGCTGATAAAAGAAATGGTTTTCTTTTGGCTAATAGGTATCTACCATTGTATAAAAAAACAAAAGGAGAGGTTGGAAGAATTAAGGTACATTAACTGAGGGCTGCATGTAGAGAATTCAATTAAAATTGTTTGGAAGGTTGATCATTACCATTCAGGTTATATTGTTAATAATAAAACTCTGTTCATGTTCACCTTTTGGTTCTGGTTATATTGGTTTTCAAAAGTTCAGTTTGTTTTATTAGTTCTTCACTGTTTTTTTTTTTTTTTTTTTTAATTACAGGTGCCTCTAAGAATCTGGTGAAAGCTTTGGGCTCTTTCCCCAAAGTAATACTTAATGGTATTTTTTAATATGCATTGGAGCTTTTTAATTTCTACCAGTAACAGTCAGTTTAAGTCATATCAGTCTGTGTTTCATTCAGTTCTGAGATTTATTTCAGAGAATATGATCTTCCAGTACGGAATTTAAGAAAGAACTTTGTTGGAGCGTGGTATAGCTTTCTACCTTTTCTCCTTAGCTCTTTCCTTACCTACTTCTCTGGATATAATACTTGGCTTTCTCCCCTTTATTTTCTTAGAGTAAAGGAGCAGTCATCTGTGGCTGTTATTTGTTTTAGTAATCATTATAAATTAAAGACAATTTTATATAACTTGAAGTATGAGGAAATTGCATAATGCTTAAGTTAGTTTGAAATGTTTCTCACCTGCAAAATGACAGCTTTTGGAATTTTATTTACGTATTTTTTATTGTAGGTCATAGTAATTGTTTTGATGACTATAAGAATTGTGCTTATATTTACATGATTTTATTTTGACTCCAGGACCGTGTATACGTACAACAAAATAACGTAGAGAATGTCTACAATTTGGGATTAATTATTTTTCGAGATCAAGTTGTACGTTATGGGTGTATTAGAGATCATCTTCGGCAAACTCTATTGGATATGATTGCAAGAGAGCGGAAAGGAGAAGTTGTAGACAGGTATATCATTTATCTTTTCCTCTTATGCTCCCCCCACCCCATGTGCTTTGGGGTTTTAGTGCTTATGTTTTAAGAAGTGACTCACTTTCATATTAAAATCTTCAAAATACTATCACAGCTACTTAGAATTTCAACATACATCTATATTTTTTAAAAAGACCATACTAGGCTTTTTAAAAAAAAGAACAAGCATGATTTTTTGAAACAAATTAGCCACTGGTGTTTTGATTTTTCATATATTTTTCATGCTGACATTTTGTTTCTCTGTCCCTGTTTCTCTCTGTTTTTTTCCCTCTGTTCCTCCCTTCCTAGAATTTTTATTTCTTCTCCAGGCTCAAGTGATCTTCCTGTCTAAACCTCCTGAATAGCTGGGACTATAGGCACATGCTACTATTGCACCCAGCTGGGCTTTTGTCTAACCTTCATTTTTAATATTTTTGAAAGAACTGTTTAACATACTCTAAATTAACTAAGAACTACTAGGTTATATGTTCTGTTCCCTTTCCTGATATGAGTGTAATACCACTTTTGTGGCGGTACTGCTAGAGTTTTTTGAATTATGTAAGAGCAGCTCTTTGCTGAAAACTTGTGAAGTTGTCAGCTTTGATGCTTACTTAGGATTACCCAAATGCCATTTACTACAAAAAACTATTTTGCCTAGGAGTAGCTGTATTCAAATCTGGTAGTATAACCTTATTCGCCTGTCTGCCTTCCTTCCTGCTTCCACAGCCTATGTTTTTAAGTACCGTGGAAATATTTAAGCATTTTTTCTTTAAAAATTTTAAGTTAGAAAAAGGTAAGAACAACTTAAGTAACTGTGGAATCAGGATGTTTTTCAATTAAAGTTACTCTAAATTTCTGTTATAAAGGACTAACTTATTAGAGATTGGTCAATTTGATAAAAAGTAAATGTTCCTGAAAATATTTCTAACTGTTATTTAGAATCTTTATGAATCTCTAATGTACTTGGATTATCAAGTGATGTAAATTCTTTTGACAGAGGCGCAATAAGAAATGCTTGCCAGATGTTAATGATTTTAGGTCTCGAAGGAAGATCTGTCTATGAAGAAGATTTTGAAGCTCCTTTTTTGGAAATGTCTGCAGAATTTTTTCAGGTAATCAGTGAAAATGTAAATAAATGATCTTAAAATGTTTTTAACATGATTGAATGTAGTTAGCTATTAGTTTTAACATTTTGAACTTTTTTTTTTTTTTTTTTGACATTTTGGTCCATTGGAGAAGGGGATAGTGCAAACAACTGCCACAAAGCACAACTACTCCACATTCTCATATTCCAGTAAAGGAGTACATGGATAAAAAAGTTGAAGAATTTAAACCTGTACACATATAAACTTAGAAATATCCTTAATATTTTATATCGTATTTATATGTTACAGATTTTTATAAGTACCGTAAATTCACAGGCTACATATCACCCATGGATTCTTGCCACATAGGCTGTTAGTAATATCAATTACTAGTGAAATAAACATGGGGATATGCATAATCCTAAACTGCATATTTGCTCTAAAGGTTATTGATCAGGAAATTATAGGCCAACCCCAAACCAACTAAGTTGTTAATGGTGAAGCTAAACTAATACTAATTTGTAATGATATCATGGTAATAACAATAATTGAGCACTGATAAACGTGAAAATGTTTGTAAGGTAACATTAACAAACATCCTGCCTAAATGTTGCAACTGATATTTGTAGAAATTTTGTAATATTGCCAAAAAGGATGCCTTAGTGGAATATTGATTGAAAGTTTTTACTCCATTAAGCAAATGAATACAAAATTATAATACCTTTTAATAATTCAGCAGTTCATTTATAAGAGCATTAGATGTATACATAGAAAAGAATTGAGTGAATTTTCCTGTCATATACCCATAAAGAAACAAAAGAATAGACTTCCTGTTTTCTTTTTTCCAAATCCATTTGTCGTCCTTCAGGAATACTGTTGTGGCCACACTGGTGAGCTCAGACAATGCTTTATGAACTATTGACTTAAAATGTAGAAAGCAGTCTTTATTTTCTAGTAGTATGTCCACTAATTCTATGTATTTTTTACTTTTTCATAGTTTTAATTTCCTTCATTACCAAAATTTACTACAAGGGTACATGTGTAAATGTGTATAAATATTAATATGTACTGTTTTCAGTAGTAAGTGGAGATAGTCTTACTAAGATTTTTGTTCAGTGTTTTAATGTTTGTTCTAAGGATTTGATTGTTTTTAAGGATTAGAACTACTTTTTTGTAAAGAAAGTGGGAAATGTTATTAAATTTTGTACTTAAAGTTTATGTCAGTGTGTCTTCTATTATGTAATTCTTAGATGCACATACATTAATGCTAGTATCAAATCAGTTAAAATTAATTGGGATACCATTTATAATTTAGTGGAACTTATGTAAGGCTAATGTTAGCAGGTCAAGATCAATAGTTATTTAAAAGCTCTGTTTCTTAAACTTTATATTCCTTTGAACCTGGGAATGGAGTGGCAGGAGAACTTCAGTATGCCAGCAAAGCTTATGATAAACATGATTAATCTTTGTAGTTATAATTTTATAACAAACACATCAAAGAAGATTCAATTCCCATTGAGGGTGAGAGGCTTCCATTTGGAGTTTACTGGCAAAGTTTAAAGAAACGTGTTTACAGATAATGTATTAATTTAGGTTTACTTAAATAAATGCTTTTGAAGACTATAATTCAGACTATATGAATATGTAATGAGGAAATGTTAATGGTCCTTATTTATAAACAGTGTCGAAATCAAGTTAAAAGCAGAAACATGTTTTCCTTCTATATTTAAATATTTAAAATATATATATATACATATATATCTATATATATCAATATCATGCTTTTTAATTGCAGATGGAAAGCCAGAAATTTTTAGCAGAAAACAGTGCTTCAGTATATATAAAGAAAGTAGAAGCTAGAATTAATGAAGAAATAGAACGGGTGATGCACTGCCTTGACAAATCAACCGAAGAGCCCATTGTAAAGGTAGTTGAGAGAGAACTTATTTCCAAGCACATGAAGACTATAGTAGAAATGGAGAATTCTGGGCTAGTACATATGTTAAAAAATGGAAAGACAGAAGGTGAGCATTACCACTTGAAAAATAATTAAATCCTTTTTCTACATTATTGCTAATAATTTTTTAATTTGTGTATGTAATTTATCACTTCTCGTTTTAATGGGATTTAATGATAATACTTTACAATGTTTAGTAAATGAAGATTTGGGGTATTTTCAGTGAATTGAGTCTTTTTTCCCCCGGGTAAGGAACGAGTAAAGTTTTTTTAAAAGGAGAATTATAAAGACACAAGGATGTAAGAGAAGAGGGAGAAGAAAGGTTTGTCCATCCTCATCTGATAGAATCCTTCCTTTTGTGTTTATGTGAGAAGGTAATGGAAAGTTGATTATAAATTTGTTCTTTTAAACCAGAGACATTCCCATTTAAAAAACAATTTTTTTAGTACTTTTATTTTATAATGTGGTGCTGGGGATTGAACCCAGTGCATCATGCGTGCTAGGCAAGTGCTCTACCACTGAGCTACAACCTCATTCCGAGAAATTTCCTTTTTTAAGTATTTTTCTGGCCAACCTGTTTTTGATAAAACCAAATAACAAAACATATTGTCATGTTTTCTAAAATGAGATACTCTTGGATAATTGTCTGTATCAGGGGTTGGCAAATTTTTTTGTAAAGGTCCAGATGGCACATATTTTATGGGCTATATAGTCAACTGCTCATCTCTGCTGTCCTAGTGAGAAAGTAGCCATAAACAGTAACACAAAGGAAAAGGCCTGTGTTCTTAGAAGCTTTATTTGTGGACTCTGAAATTTTTTTTTTAATTTTTAATTTTTTTTATTGGTTGTTCACAACATTACAAAGCTCTTGACATATCATATTTCATACACTATGAAATTTTAACTTTATGTAATTTTCACATCACTAAATATATATATATTTTTTAATTCTCCCTCTCCCCCAACTTATAAAAAGTGTGAAAACTATTCTTAGTTTATGAGTTGGACAGAAAAAAGATAGCAGGATATATTTGGCCCATGAGCTTTGAGTCTTGATCTAAATGGCCCCTGCAGACTAAAGTGGAAATTAGGAACTGGAAAATGTTTGAAGTTTCTGGATGTGCTTGAATTACAGCATTTCTGTAACCTGCATGGAGACATGTGTTGAAGGTATTTATTAGATTTGCCCAACAAGACAAGTACTTAATAAATATATGACTAAAACAATAGCATAATAGTTATTTACTAGTTTTTCCTGTTATATTTCAATGTTTTCATCAAGTAGTTGATTGTAAATTATTGTTATTTGAGTGTGTGTCTGTGTCTGTCTGTCTGTCTGTCTGTCTGTCTGTCTGTCTTTAGGGGGATTGTGGCAGCTGAACCCAGGGGTGCTCTACCACTAAGCTGTATCCCAGACCTTCTTTTTTTTTTTAGTTTTGAGCTAGGGTCTTGTTAGGTTGCCGAGGCTGCCCCTACCTCTGCCTCTTGAGTCACTTGACTACCGTTTTTCCTGACCTACCACGAGAAACCTAATTGCAAAATGTCTCAGTTGTGGTAGGCCCTGCTCTTGAGCAGTTTATTGAGAATATGTCAGAGTCACATTCACCATTATGAAGCCAAATTCTCATGTATCAGAAAGTGAAAAACAATTTTCTCTATGAATGGAGGATAAAGTTTCTTTGGTTATTAGATGCACCATAGCTGTATGAAATTGCTTAAATGTTATTTCATTTTTATTGTTTTATTAGATATGTGAAGAACTAATATTTAATTTTTTGAATGCCACTATTTTTCATTTACTCTTTCATTCACTACTATATCAAGACAGTTAAATACAATGAACATATATTAGTTTACATACCATTAAATATATATCTAAGCAAAACTTATAATAACATAGGAACAGATTAGACAACTCAAGAATAATTTTGCTAGAGGTATTTGTACCAAATTTGTTATAGTTTGGGTATATAAATTGCTGTCACATTTTAAAATACCTGTTTTTGATGTGGGAAATTTGTGATGATATATGCCAAATATATGGAAAGCTATAAGATAGGTCTTTTATAAGATTTGCTTCTAAGTTTTTAAAAAATACATATAACTTTAGTTTTAGAGGCAAATTATGGCTTGTCTGCCAAATCTGGCCCAACACCTATTTGAAGAAACATCAAATATTTGATTACACATGAAAATTTATATGAATTTTCAGTGCCCATAAAGTTTGTTTTGAAGCAGTTGTAGTATCTGTGGCTGCCTTCTTGTTACAGTAGCAAAACTGAGTAGTAGCATCTGAGACTAGATGACCCACAGGCCTAAATCATTTAGTATCTGGTGCTGTACAAAAAAAAAAATTGGCCAACCCTTGATCTAGAAACTGCTGTTCTAAAACTATTTTAAAACATTACTGATAGTAAAAATTCTTAGAACATAAATTTCTGAGACATCATAGTCTCCCAGTAAGTAAGTATTTCATAGAAATACTTCACCCATGGAAAAAACGGTATTTCAAATCTACATTATAGGTTTGTGAAAAATGATGGAGACCAGAGTTTCCAGGCTAATTTGTAAAATATAGATGTTTGCTTAGGATACCACTAATTTGTAAAATATAGATGTTTGCTTAGGATATCACTGGGAGATATTAAGAATAGCTGTGAGGAGAGTACTAAAGAATAGATTTTTATATCATAAATTTAAACTTAACATGTAATGAAGTAAATCCTATTACACTTCACTTTATTTATTGTAATCCTTGTCAATTGAGTGATAAAATTTTAATTGGTTTTTAAAGTTTTTTCTTTATGAAGTATCTGCCAGCTATACCATAATTAGAATTATCCTTTGGTGCATGTTTATAGATTCTATGTTAGAGTTACATATGATAAATTATGTTGAAAGTTTTCATTTTTTAAAATATTTTTTTTAGTTGTAGGATGGACACAATACCTTTATTTTATTTGTTTTTATTTTTATCTGGTGCCAGGGATTGAACCCAGTGCCTCATGCATGCCAGGCATGTGCTCTACCACTAAGCCACAACCCAGGCCTCCCAAAGTTTTCATTTTTAATGACATTTTTTTTACTATGCTGTGAGGGCAGCTTCTATTCCGTGTAAATTAAAATTAAAGTTTCCTAAGATATTTTATTGATGCTTTCAAAACATCTCATTTAAAAGCTGTTCATAAATCATAATAACAACTAGGCTTTTAAATTTTTTTTTTGATTTTGCTATTTATTTTTAAATGCCTTCATTTCACTCATTTATTTTTATGTGTTGCTGGGGATAGAACCCAGGGTCCCACACATGTGAGGCGAGTGCTCTACCACCGAGCCACAACCCCAGCCCCCTGATTTTGCTGTTCTTTAGTAGTCCTAGTGGTCAGCAGATGGTGATAATGGAAAAAAACTTCTCTTAAACACAGACTCACATTTTTTCTATAATTTTTAATGTAGCCAATTTGTGTTTTCTTTCTAATTGCAGACCTTGCTTGTATGTACAAGTTATTTAGTCGTGTGCCAAATGGTTTGAAGACAATGTGTGAATGTATGAGTTCTTATTTACGGGAGCAAGGTAAAGCCCTTGTTTCTGAGGAGGGAGAAGGAAAGAATCCAGTTGACTATATTCAAGTGAGTTACAGAAGATTCTCTTCAAGTTTTTATAAAGTCATTTGACAAGTGCTAAAAAAGATCACTTTTATTAATGTGTAATTATCCTAAACTTTAGAATTTTGCAAGTTTTACATATTTATATCAGGGAGCCAGTCTCTTCATTCGTTGTGCAACTCTTCATTCGTTAACCTGATCAAGACCTTGTTTAAATAGTCTCAATAATGAATATGAATTCTATTTTATGTATGCTTTAATGTGTTGGAGGGAAAAACATTTTTTAAGTTAAATACTTTTTTATTCCAAAATGTTTTGCTTGCAAGCGGAATTGTTAAGTAAATTATACTCCAAATTATTCATGTTTTAATATAATCCCCTCTTCTTCATGCATTTTTAAGCTTCTCTCTGACTAACCTGGTAGGTCAAAGCAGTGAGGCAAATCATTGATTCATCTCTAATATAGTATATGTATGTGGAAGATAACATGCTTTCTCATCACTGACATTTTGAATACGGGCTACATACAGACTTGAAAATTATAGATCCTATAAGTTTAACTGTGAATGTATACATTTATTACCAACAAAGTTAAGATAAACATAAATGATCGTAAGTATATTTGTACAAAATTTTTATAATGTGTCCTAAATTTGTTTTTATTTATAAGGGCTTATTGGACCTGAAGAGTAGATTTGATCGCTTCCTTCAGGAATCATTTAATAATGACCGGCTCTTTAAACAGACTATTGCTGGTGATTTTGAGTATTTCCTTAACCTCAACTCCAGGTCTCCCGAATACCTCTCATTATTTATTGATGATAAGCTGAAAAAGGGAGTCAAAGGGGTAAGTCGTCATGCATTTACAAATATGTTAAAATGTATTTGTTGATGTAAGGTTAGAAAATAAAGTATAAAGTTAATAAATTTTATAGATAGAAAAATTAAGTCAAACCGCTGTGCTTAAATGTGCTGTGATCTATTAAAAAGTATTGTTTAAAATATTTGACATGATCATAATTTCTTTGACATTTCACTTACTTTACAATTGGCATTAAAAACTGGCATACTCTCCAGTAGTACAGTGTTGCTTTCTTTTATCTGGTTCTGGATTGTATTATCAGACAGTAGTTGAATTCTGGGAACATATAGAAAGTAAGTTTGAAAATCTAACTGCAACTCACTTTCAAGCCTTTGTAATATATCTGGGGCCTTAGGAGTTCTCTTGAGAACATAGAAAGTAAAATCAAGCATGTTTGAGGGGTTTTTTTTTTTTTGTTCTTGTTGTTGTTGTTATTTTTTGATACCAGGGATTAAGCCACTCCCCCAGCCCTTTGTTATATTTTATTTAGAGATGGGATCTGAGTTGCTTTAGGGCCTCACTACGTTTCTGAGGATGACTTTGAGCTTTTGATCCTCCTACCTGAGCCTCCTGAGCTCCTGAGATTTCAGGTGTGCACCATTGTGCCCAGCAAGAGTGTTTGATCACACTTGATGAAATGGTCATCTTGGAATTTTTGAGCCAAAAGGAAAAGTAACAAGTAGCCACTGGTTTATACAGGCAATAACTATAGTAAAAAAATGATATTACTAAGAATGCACAGAAATCATGTATCTTTTCATTTTAAAATACTTGAGCTTAATCCATACAGTTTGTCACAGTATCATCTTGCCTTTATTTTAGAGATAAGGGCAAGGAGTCTTTATTATCTGGATTATAACAAATTTTTACCCTTCTGTGCAAAATTTAGGTTTGAATGTGCTTAAGTGAAAAGGTCTATCTTTTGGGTATGTAAGTTTCTAATTATTATGTAGAGGTTTCTGAAATATTCTTTAAGTTTTATTTCTGCTGAACTTAGTCATCCCTTAATTCAACCTTGTGGTTCCCTCACATTTCCATTTCAGTGATAGTCCTATTGGAAATGGAATTCTACTCTAATACCTCAGTAAGGCTGCATTGTTCTGGTATATGAAGCAGAAGGCACTTTGTCAAACTTCATCCCTTCTGTCCCCTAGATATTTGTGTTTGTTTTCAAGCAGTGTTTTAAAACTGTAGATGAGCTATGGTGTGCTATTTTTGTATAACTCAAATTTTATAGTAGTTGTCTTTTAATTTAATTTTGCAGCTAACAGAACAAGAAGTAGAAACAATATTGGATAAGGCAATGGTCCTTTTTAGGTTTATGCAAGAAAAAGATGTATTTGAACGTTATTATAAACAACACCTGGCAAGGAGACTTCTGACGAATAAAAGTGTTTCTGATGACTCTGAAAAAAATATGATATCTAAATTAAAGGTAAGTTGTAAGTTAGTTGGAGTAGAGTATATCTATGTGTAATGCTTGTCATGATTGAGCACCAGTAACATGTGATTGGAAATTATTTATTTGGTTTTAAATGTGTGCTTAAGATATTGTTAAAGGTAGATTATTCATGAGAGTGGCAGTCTATCCTTATATTTGTTCAAGTTTTAGGACATTATGGTATGGTAGGATACATTCACAGAGGCCTATGAGAAGATTAATTAATAAGGAAATAATAAAGAAATGTCACCATGTAATTCTGTTTCATGAAGAGATATTCATAAAGTACCTGTAAGTGAATTAACTGAGGTCCTTTTCAAAAATGCAGAGTTTTGGGCCCTGTGTATTCCATGGAGTACATAGGAATCGCTGAAAGAGTCTGGATATTTGCATTTTTAAAACAAAATGCTTGGGGTTATTCTTAAAACCCTAACATTTGGTAACGAGGCATATAACAACTCATAGAAAAATTTACAGAGATTATCAGCAGTGCCAATAACATAGAATAACTTGTTTCTATATTTTCTCATAGAAAAATCCATCATTTATTTGTATATACTTGTGTTTTTCCTCCATAGACTGAATGCGGATGTCAGTTTACTTCAAAACTGGAAGGAATGTTTAGGGATATGAGCATCTCAAACACAACAATGGATGAATTCAGGCAACATCTACAGGCAACTGGGGTAAGGTTCTTCTTGGATTTCTACTTTTATATGTTTTTGTTAAGTCTTTCATTACGAGGATTTTCATCTATATAACAGTTAACTGATCTGGTGTCATTTCTTTAAATTAGCGACACTATTATCTGTGGGTATGTAAAAACTAACTGTTTCCATGAAAATATGTGTTTAATTTTTATTTTTTCCCCACTTGAAGGAATGCACTGAAAATTAATAGAATTACTTTTTATAAAACCATTATAGAGTATAGAAAAATACAGAGCTTAGTAAAGTTTACTAGAGTTTTAATATTATTCACTTTATCCTAGACTTTTTTTTACTTTCAGATAGTTACCTGACCTCCTTTACTTCAATATTTTCATTCTCAAAGACAATCTCACATTCCAAGAAAAGGTGGGGTGGGGGAGTAAACAAACTATACAAATGCAGAATTTAATGTATTATATGTTTTTTGTTTTTTATTTTTTATTTAACTTTTTTTTTTAGTTGTAGATGGACACAAGATCTTTATTTTATTATTTTTATGTGGTGCTAAGGATTGAACTCAGTGCCTCACACATGCTAGGCAGGCGCTGTACCACTGAACTACACCCAGTTTGTGTTCTGTGTTTTGTGTTGTGACTCCCAAAGACACTAAGCTGGCACTTAAGTTACTTGAGGATTTAAAGTTTTTTTTAAGTGAACCCCCGGGCATTTAACAACTGAGCCACATCCCTAGCCCCCCACTTTTAAAAAAAATTTATTTTCTAGACAGGGTCTCATTAAGTCCTTAGGGTCTGCCTAAATTTGAATTTGTGATTTTCCTGCCTCAGCCTCCAAAGCTTCTGGGATTACAGTTGTATGCCACTGCTCCTGGCTTAAATATCTTGTTTGTCGTAGAGAAAGGCCAGTAAGACAGTGCAAGTCTGTGATAAATAAAAGTCTGAGTCAGCAGGAACTGAATGATGAGATTATCCAAGATGGTATAATTTAGATTGCTTAGTGATTTATTATCTTAAATGTATAAGGGGCTGGTGTATCCTCAGTTTCTTCTATGGTGTTATCTTCTATGTATCATCAAAGATATCTAGTTTAAGTTTCTTTCAAGTAGAATAACTTTTGAAGAAATCCGAGCCTATATTGCATCTTCATATTTATAAACCCAACCACCCCTTTAAATATCTGTATCATTAAATCATACAGATTAGATTAAAAATGGAATAATGGTTTGTAACAAGATGTATTAGTAGTATAGATAATAGTTTGTCCTTAAAAGTACCTATGATATTCTTTAAAATTCTGTTTGAAAAAAAATCTAATGGTAACGATTATGTTTATATTTTGTAAAAGTTGTTAACCATTGTATATATGTATTTGGAGGGCACCTGCTCTGTAGCATGATATCTACGGTGTCTTATGCATAATTTGTTAGAATGTAAACTACACATTAAATCATGAAAGTTTTGATTAATGTAGTTGAAATGTAGGTAGGAAATTAGGAACATGTTATTTACACTAAGATGGTAAAAATATTTAAAAACAGATTAATGATACCAGAAGTTTCCTCTAAAATGATATTGATATGACCTCTTGACATTTTATCTTTTTAAAAAATTTTAAGTCCAAAACTACAGTTCTCAATGATATGGGTAAGACTTTGTTACATGCTAAGAATTAACATTTTAGGCAGTAATTTGATTATTTGCCACAGTTGTTAAACTTTGTAAAACATTAGGCAGACCTAACCTTTCAGAACATCTGTTTTGTTTACCAGATATAAGACATAAAGATAGCTACTTTTATACAACTACTTTGATAATTGTAATGGAGTGTCTAAAGGGAACTGATAATGTTAGGAGACATTTTCTGTTTTATACAGGTATCTTTAGGTGGTGTTGATCTCACAGTCCGGGTGCTCACGACTGGATATTGGCCCACTCAGTCAGCCACACCAAAGTGCAACATCCCACCAGCACCAAGACATGCTTTTGAAATATTTAGAAGGTAAACCTAAATCAGACTTTGTATTTCTAAGTACAAATAATTGTCCAAAATTAAAATAAATTTTGGCATTAATGATGTCCCCAGTTAAGGATGAATATATTTCATTTTATCCTCATGTTCTAAAGGAGGATTTATCCTTTATCCTTTTAATATTTAAGAATTAGTTGCATAAAACTTTTTGCAAAGGAATATTCACTTCCTTTCTTCAGCGTTTGTACAGTGTATTTTATACAGTTGATGTCTGTTACTAGGATAAATCATTTATTGGGTTACTGTGGAGAAAAGTTAGTCTTAAAATAGCAGGAGCTCAGCAACAAGTTGAGGCAACATGTATAGTAGCATTATTATTTAGTGTGCTATCTTTATCATTTAATTTTTAGTTAAGTTGTTGAGACCTCATATTCCCCCATTTCATTTCCTCTTCTGTGAAGAATTGAAACAAAAAGTAATTTCCAAGATGTCATTTTAACTTTTAAGGTCCCCCTTACATGTATTTTTGTTCAGGATTGTTCCCCTGTAGTATGTAATTTAATATGCAAGTTGTGTGATTCTCTAAAACCTAGTTTGATTTGCTGAAGGTTCTACCTAGCCAAACACAGTGGTCGACAGCTCACACTCCAGCATCATATGGGTTCTGCAGATCTCAATGCCACTTTTTATGGTCCAGTTAAAAAGGTAAATGTTCACAGTTTGAACATTCTAAGTAACTTAAAAATTTTGTTTATATAACTGACCTGGGTAAACAATTTGTTTTATTGTTAAACCTGCCTTAAATATAAAAAAGTTTAAATATTCAATTTCATTTATAAGATTAAACTTGAGATAATGTAAATAAATATAAAGAAACTTGAGGTAATAATGGGAAAATGTAAGTTGATTTGAGGGCATACAGAGCTGTGAGCCCCTTTTAAAAATTCTGTCTTTTATAATCCCTATTGCTAATCAAAACCAGTAAAATTAGGACTTGAGATTTAAGAAACACACATTAGCAAAGTCATTAAAAAATCAATAATGCATCAGTGATTCGTCTTCCTCTTAAAAAAGTAGTTGACTTTTTAATATCTAAAATCATTAGTTTTAAGAGTAATAATTTGTTTTCATTAGTTTTAATCAAATCAGGGTCATTTGCCATAAAACTGAAAATTAATAAAAGACTTAGAAAACATTAAATAAAAATATTTAAGTTGTTATCTGGGCAGCAAATATGGTTTTGTAGTTGTCAGTAAGTGTGTGTGTGTGTGTGTGTGTGTGTGTGTGTGTGTGTGTGTGTATTTATTTGTATGCAGTGCAAAGAATTGAACCCAGTGCTTCACACATGCTAGGCAAGCATTCCACCACTGAGCTATAACCCAGTCCTAGTAAATGTTTTATTTCAGATTTTAATTAGAATCTTCTCATTTTCCACGTGTTATGAGTCACTATAACACCAAAGTATTTTTTTTAGTGTGTAAGTACTTTGGTTTTTATATTAAAATGTGTAATAGTCCTTGGATAATATTTATCACTATTATATATTTAAGTGGAAGAGACTAGATCAAAGATACTACAGAACAACTTTTGATTATTGCTTGTTTTCATAGAGCAGCTTCTTTCATATAGTATTTTTGTATAGTGCCAGTAAATCATTCCTTTTTATTGCTGAGAAATATTTTATCTGAGCAGTGCTACTAAGGTTTATTAAAGAGATCAATAGACTTTTAAAGCATAGTGTATATGCTAATTATTGAAGACAGTGTCATTTATAAGGGTGGTATTATCATCCAATTTTACAGTGTTAAAATAACTTTAGCTTTAAATTTAGGGAACTCTTGGTTAGTTATATGCTCGGGTAGCCACCTGAAAATATTCACAGTGATGGGGGTGTGGGGGATAGTCCTAAGTAAAGACTGTGTGTGTGTGTGTGTGTGTGTGTGTGTGTGTGTGTGTGTGTGTGTGTGTGTGTGTAAATAGATTTCTTTTTATATGGGAATAAAAAGGAGTGGAGATTACAGGACTTATTTCTAAAATATATTGTTATAGATACTAGGAGATAATTATCTTTGTTCATATTTTTTTAAACATCAAACAGGAAGATGGATCTGAAGTTGGTGTTGGAGGTGCACAAGTAACTGGCTCAAATACACGGAAGCATATATTGCAAGTTTCCACTTTCCAGATGACCATATTAATGCTCTTTAATAATAGAGAAAAATACACATTTGAGGTATGAGTTGTTGTTATATATGTTTCTAACCATTATCTGAGTCTTTCTTATGTGAGAAACCTTAAGAGAATCTCTTTGAATACCTTAACAGAATACTGCATAAAATTGGGCCATGGAACTATAAGAATATCATGTGTTATTGGATCATTTTGTTGCTGCTTTTTTAAGGTGCTGTTTTTTAAATCGGCATTATTGAAGTACAATTTTCATATAAAAATTTCATATAATTTCACATTTTGAGTTTTAAACAAGCACCTATGTAACTTCCACTTCGGACCTAAGTATTATTTCCATATTTTTTGGTAACCCTTTTGTAGTCATTTTCATCCTATCACCCCTCGCCTCAGGCAGCCAGTTATCTGTTCTGTATTACTGTAGATGAGTTCTGCCTTTTCTATACTTTCATACAAGTGAAATCTCATCATATGGGTTATTTGTGTCCCATTTCTTCCTTACATAGCATAGTATTTTTGAGATTCAACCTATTATATAATATCAGGAGTTCATTTCTTTTTACTGATGAGTGATATTTTATTATGTGTACGTGCTCCATTTTCTTGATTTCTATTTGTTGATGGGCTTCTTTGGGTTGTTACTATATTTGGGTTGACATGAATAGAATTGTATGTTTGTTTTCTTTGCTTTGTTTTTAAGAAACCGCCAAACTGTATGATTTTACATTCCTACCAGCAGTGAAAGAGAGAGCCAGTTGTTCCACATCCTCTGCAGTCTTCATAGTTGTAGCCTTTTCAATTATTTAATTGTCTCTCCTGGATTTTATTTGATTTTCTTTGATGACTAATGATATTGAGGATCTTTTATGTGTTTGTAAGCCCCTTATATATATAGTTTGTGAAGTATCTGTTCACAAACTATATATAATAGTTTGTATTTAATATTATATGTTAAATATAATATGTATTTAATAGTTTTATATAATAGTTTGTATGCTAATAGGACTATTTTTCTAGTAAATTATAAAAGTTCTTTATCCTGGATACAAGTGCTGGTAAATGTGTTATGAATATTTCTTAATTCTGTCGTTTGTCTTTTCATTTTTTAATGGTAACCTTTGAAGAGAATTTTTTAATACTAACAGTTTTTTATTGTCACATTTTTCCTTTTATAATTTGTTTTTGATGTCCTAAGAAATTATTACCTACCCTGAAATTGCAAAGATTTTCTTCCATTTTTTTAAGCAGTTTTTAACTTTAATTTTTACATTTACTTCCTCACATGGACAGTTACTCGTTCCAGTATCATTTGTTAAAAGCACATCTTTTTTTTCTCTATTTAATTACCTTGGCACTTTTACCAAAAAAAAAAAAAAAAAAAACCATATATGGGTCTATATATTTCTTCACTGTGTAATCTGTTTGTTTGCCTGTCCTTTACACTATCCTGATAGCATAGTCAAATTTCTTTTTTTTTTTTTGCTTTAGAAAATTATTATTATATGCTTTTCAATTCCTTTTTAATTTTCCCTTTCTTTCTCTGCAGTAAATTATCATTTGATTACATTAAAATCATGTAATTTTTTCCTATGCAATTAAAAGGGTCTCTTGGAGTTGAAATGAAGATCATATGGTTCTTAATATAGTTTAAACTTGAGATAGTGAATGACTATTTTATGAGGCTTGAAAATTGGTGCTATATTTGTACTTAATTGAAAGCCAGTTTTCAGATAGAGGTGAACACAGGAAGAACAAAATTGTGAGTTTGAATATTTTAGTATTCATCTCCATGGCTCCCATTTATGTGGGAAACATAATAGATGACCATTTTTGTGTGATACACTTAAAATTTTTTTAAATATATGTGTCATAAAGTGGCTAAGTCAAGAGGGTTTTTTCCCCCTATATATTTAACAGGTGGATCTTGCCTAGAGCATAACCTTAATTTTTATACACAAGTATGTGTGATTGGGAGTCCTAAGAACATCAATTACATTATACCTTACTCAGACATTGTAAGGCTTTTCAAACAGTTAGAATTATATTATCTCTAACATGTTTTGCATAGATATTTTAATCTGCAGCTTTCATAGATCATATGAACTCTAAGCAAAATATACTGCTTGATAAATAACTTGATTTTCAAAGGTCTGTTTTTTAAAGAACTGGTAAAAATAATGGAATAAGCAAAAATATAAATTTGTTTTCTGAAGCCATTATTAGTATTGCTATAATAGTGATTCAAGCTTACTCTTTCCATTCTCCAGTTGGGTTGAGATCATTGGTGCTAATGAGCAGTTATTAAGTAGAAGATAAAATTATCTAATATTCCCCATTTTAGCTAAGTCACAAATCTGAAACCTGATCTTAGGGTACCTAGAATTCCATGCAGTGCCTCCCTGTGGCTCCAAAGCCTGCTTGCTCACACCTCAAATCCAGTACATAGTGAGAAGACATGAAATTTATTTTTACTTGTGCCATGTGTTTCTCTATACTCTGCTGCTTATAGGAGATAGTTGAAAGTGTTTAAAAATTTTAAAGGGAACTCATCTTTATCTTTGTATATTCTTGACTTTAGTAAGATGATGTGTTATATAATACTACATATCAAATCTCAAAACTGAATGATTTAAAAACAAAATTTAACAATTTATAATCATATTTTCTATGGGTTAGGGATTCAGGAAGAGTTTGAGATCTTTTATGAGGTTGCATTTAGATGTCATCTGGGGCTTTAGTCATCTAATGGTTTGATTAGGGCTGGAGAATATACTTCCAAGGTGGATCAGATGGCTGGAAAGTTTGTTTTGGCTACTGTTAAACAGCATTAGTTTCTCTCCATGGGCCTTTCTACTTAACTGATTGTTCTCAAATCCTGGTGGCTGACTTTTCCCAGAATGGGCAATCCAGGAACCCATACAGTGTCTTTATGACTGAGCCAGCTGCGAAAGTTGCATACTGTCCCTTCTCATTTTCTTGGTTTCCCAAATCACTTGTAGAACAGTGAGAGGACCATACAATGTTAAAACATACCAAGATTATTAATGAGCTATCTGGAAGCTAGGTACAACAGGTGGTGTCAATTTGCAGTGTCGCATTTAATCCATAGTAGGATGCTGCAGTCTTTTCTTTTTTTATGTTTTGCATGAATAAAAATTTTTTGTAGTTTAGAATACCTAAAACGAGGATGTATGGAGATATATATAGTAATCTTATACCTTGGATTTTATAACTAGCATTTGGTTTTCAAGAAGTATGGAAAATAATACATATTTTTCTTAATATTGTTATACTTTTAAAATATTTTCTAAGAATAAATTTCAGTTATAAGAACTTATTATGGACATTAATGGGAAATAGAATTGAAATAGAAAGAGAAATAGAGAGACTGAAAAATGGAGGATATATATATATTTTTTTTTTTTTCCTAATTTTCCAAATCTTTGTCCTTGCCCATGTGAGACCCAAGTTTACCATCTTCCCTTGGAGACTATCAGTTACTTCCTCTAATAAATTGCCTTGTTGGAATGGGTTTCTGTTCTTTATAATTAATGTGAGGCTAAAAGAACTGAATATACTATGTATACAACCAGAGATAGGAAAAATTGTGCTCTATATATGTAATAAGAATTTGCATTCTGCTGTCATATAAATAAAAATTTACATAAAAAAAGAATTGGTAACAATCATTAGTGATATGACTTCACGATATGTAAAGGAAAATGGTTGAAAATATAAGGAGAGATAGACAGTTTCACTATCATAGAAATCACAGGTTTACTTGTAAACAGAAAAAAGGAGGGATGTAGATTTGAACTGCACAGAGAACTTCGGATTCAAAAAGCAAAATACACTCTTGGGAAATATCCGAATCTGACATAGCCTTGTTATCAAAACTGAACAAAGAAAATACTAAACAGAGAAAGTAATAGGTTATTTAACATAAATGCATAAATTTTAAGTATTAATAAATTATATTCAGCCAGGTATTGAAGGACTAATGCACTGTGTTCAAACAAGATCTATTAAGTCCATCCACACTCCTTATTTCTAGAATGTGGCACCCTTAGCCACCTAAGAATAGAGTGAAATGTTCTTAATATTATAAAGTTGTAGTTAAGAGAAAATTGAAGCACAACAATAAGTAATAATAAAATACTAGATATCTTCCTATTGAAGTTAGGAACAAGGTAGGATGCTTACCTTTCATACTACCTTTACACCTTGCTCTGCAGTATCTAGCTAATAAACTAAGAAAAAGGAGTGAAATTTATAAATATTAGGAATTTAAAATTTTTTTAAATCTTTCAACATTAGATTGTCAGCTTGACAATGTGTGATAATTAACTTGAGAGAAAGCATTCTCTGAGTTCTGTTTGTTAAAATCACCTTTTCTGTAAACCAGCATTAATTAGGAAATGACATGAGAGAAAAAGGGTATTTTATCAAGAATGATAATCTTCCTAGTAATGATTCTGCAAGATAAATCAATCGTTTGAATAAACAGTCCAGAAGCAAATTGATATATATTCGTGCATGTTTAAGGTGTGATAAATTTATCATTTTAAATCAACCTAACTTAAAATAATTGGTGGTTCATTTGAGGTAGAAGGGAAAGGGGTAATAATGGGACCTAATTCCACTTATCATATCATATACAAAGTTAAATTTTAATGTGAAAATATATGCATAAGCATAAATCTGTAAAAATAATATAAGAGAATATAGAGTATGTTAATAACCGTGGCAGGAGATACATTTTTATAAAATCTATTACAAAAAGGAAAAAACTCATACATTTAAACAATTCTGTTCCTGTGTGAATATATATACCACAGTGAATTTCTCCTGTATATGTATTTATAAAGCACCAATTTAAAAAATAGTAAATAGGGCTGGGGTTGTGGCTCAAACGGTAGCGCGCTCACCTGGCATGCGTGCGGCCCAGGTTCGATCCTCAGCACCACATACCAACAAAGATATTTTGTC